CAGTTTTGAGATGACCTTTGAATGATTTTCTTTTTGTAAAGCGACAGGATTCTTTTTTGGAAAAAGTTGCTTGTTATCAGAAAAACTAGTATTATGAAAACAGCCATTTTTTGCAATACTGAAATCTTTAATTACGTTAGTAGCGTCACTAGTTTAGTCAGTTGTTCCCCTACACTGCGTTTCAGATGTGTGAGACGTCATACAAGCTGTCATGTGATGACGATTGCATGGTTTTCAGGATGTTGCAGCTTTGGAGAGTCAGCCGCTGCTGGGCTTTTTCCTCCGAGAGGAGAAGACAGGACCGGCTCAAAAACTGCAGTTTAAACTGTACCATAAAAACACATTCTACTACATCTTCAGAGCAGAGGACATTCCCACTGCTCGGAGGTACACAAGCACTTTGTTGTATACTGAGTTGTATAGAGTTTGTTCTATTAAAGGGGTCATATGATGCTTTTTAAAGATCATTATTTTGTGTATTTGGTGTAACAGAATATGTTGACATGCTTAAACCACGCCTTTCTTTGCGTGAACATTTGGGCGGCATTATGCAAATATTTCCACATAGTGAGGTAGATATGTGGGGGCGTGTTAGAACGAGCCGTTTTAGGGGGGTGTGGCAGTCTTAACTTTGATAAAGAATATCTCTTTGGGTTTGAGACTTTAGTCTTTGCAACTTCAGGGATCTTATCTATTCACGAACAGCTTGTAACACTCCAAAGAGAAAGGAAAACTTGAAATCGCATCATATGACCCCTTTAATCTAATCTATGATTCATTGCTTCAAACTAAATCTGTGCTGCTTTTTTCAGATGGATTGAGGCGTTTCAAGAGGCCATGATCCTTTGACTGGATTAAACAGAATGAATAAATGTCATTCATCTGGGCCTCTGCACTGTGTACACAGGCAGCGAGTTTGAGGATGCATAAATCAAAACCCAGTTTGAAGCAAAGGATGCTGGTAGATGTAGTTTATGCATTAATCTATCTTAAGCACCCTAATGAGGGTTCAATGAGTGGCTGTTTAATCAGTCTGCCTCCATTGTACTTCAGAAATGTGAGGTATTAATCCAATGTCATTTTTAGGAAACGCTGCCTCTCTGGTCCAGTTGCTTTTGGTGCTTTCAAGGTCAAAAAAGTCAGACAATGACTGGTCATGAGCATTAGATACAGATGTTTTCATTGACTCCTGACCATTAGGCTTGCCTATGAATCATATTTCAATCTGAATTAATCTGAATGAATCCTGCCCACTTTTCTCAACACTCCATTATGATGTCATAGGGACAGTCTGAATCTAATAGTATCACTTGTTGCCTGAAGAAGATTTAAAAAGATTTGGTCAGGGGTGTGATTCATAGTCAGGTCTGAATGTGCATGAGCAAGTATGACAAAGGGATGTCTGATGCCAGGTCGCACCTTTGGCACGGTCATGTGGCACAGTCCGTGCAGTCTGGCATGGTGCATTATGGGAGATTTTGGATTCAACTGTGAAAGCTGGGCCTTAATCGGGACGCACAGAGTGACTTTATGTATAAATTGTACAATGCATAAAACCATTGTTTTGGACATTGATGGTGAAAGTTGGTGTAAGGTTTTACGAATGATTGATGCATTGAATGTGGCCATTAACGCAAAAAGGTTTTTTTTTTTTTTAACGAAAATTTTAGTGATTGCGACAGTTTACCTAAACCTATGGTTTTACGAACAGTTCATGCGTTACCTGCATGATTTACGCAAAAACAATTTGAAGAATGATTCACATATTGAATGTAAAAAAATGCATACTTTTTTATTATGAAAGACTGACCTAAATGTTTGTTTATATATATATATAATGTGAGCAATTCCGTAAGAATTTTTTTCATGCTTACATGAACTGTTTGCATTGCATTCAACAGTTCATGTAAGCGTGTTATTTTTACGAACAATTCATTCATTATACGCTACAATTTGTGGAAGAATGGTTTTATGAACAATTTCGTTTTTTTTTTTCTGCTTTAATTTCCTGAAAAAAATGCCCTTTTTATTTGGTTTTTAGTCTGTTACTGTTGCAAAAAAAGGTTTTAATAATCTTAAACATTTTTTAAAACTCTTTTGTACAAAGTAGGTGTTTTGACTGTTGTTTTAAACCTTATACTGGACAGAACTGGAAGTGTACATATTTTGTAAATGGTAATATAATGCAGGTGTATTTAAAATAGTTCAGGCTGTTTAATGGCCTCAATGTATTATGGGTAGTAAAGACACAGTGCCAGGCTGGCTAACTCAGCACTGTTTTAACTTACTATACAAGACATTATAGCACACCGGCTGTGAATACAGAGAGAAAAACTAGTGCTCTCATCAGGGAAAGATATAACACACATTACATACTCTAATGCAGCACCTTGTTCAGGACCACATCTCTTAACACTTATGACCTGATTATATTCTCTAGTTTTCACTAAGGTCCTTTGTCAGCTCCAGCCACAGAAAGCCACTGATCTTTCACTGTTTGAAGTGTAACAAGTCCAAGAAATTAATATTATTTGTTTTGCAGTAATACGTTCGATATTGATCACATTTGTGTGTTGAATGTTGGTTTACATTTTGTACGATTGTTTTGCATTTTTGGGAAACATTAGATACACCAGTTTTTTTTTGTTTTGTTTTTTTTTTACTTTTAAGAAAAATATAATTGCTATTTCTGATGATTCTTGTCCATTTTGGCACTAGTTCACTGTTGTATCCCAAAGTTCTGTGCATCTCCAGAAGGTTTTACAACATCAATTTGTTAATATCTTGAGGAATTCAAGGGAGTAGACTATGCCCCGACATAAATGTAAAGTGCAAATCATTTTTAATAAATATTTGTAATGTAATAAGATAACATGTCTGTAAGTCTGGTTAAACTTGGTTTCATAATGACTTGGGGGGTATATTTGCTGAATATAAATATTAAAAGTACAGTTCACATTCCTATTGATTCCATACAGTTAATTAGATCAAATGATACGGGTTCTTGGCCAGTACCAATAACTAGAAAGTGGAGCGGCTGATAGCAAACTGCATTATCCATTACAAGATCTGGTGGCACTGTAGATTTTACAGCTAATATGAAAGAAATCGGTAACACTTTACAATAAGGTTAATTAGTTAACAACTTTAGTTAACGTGAACTAAGAATAAACTATTCTACAGCATTTATTAATCTTAATGTTAATTTTAAACATGTATTTACGCATGAATAAAATCAAAAGTTGTGCTTGTTAACAATAGTCAAAGCAAGAAATCTTTAACAATCAGCTGAACTGGGACGGTTATTGCCAAACATGCATCCAAATTCTTTAATGTATCATTTTGGCTTCCTAGAGCAGTCCTATAAAAGAAAAGTTATTCTAGTTAATCATACTGGCTAACGTCGTAAATCCACTAGCAGCACTCAACCTTCACAATTGGGGAAGTTGTGGCCTAATGGTTAGAGTCGGACTCGTAACCCAAAGGTTGCGGGTTCGAGTCTCGTACCGGCAGGGATTGTAGGTGGGGGGAGTGAATGTACAGCGCTCTCTTCCACCTTCAGTACCACGACTGAGGTGCCCTTGAGCAAGGCACCGAACCCCCAACTGCTCCCCGGGCGCCGCAGCATAAATGGCTGCCCACTGCTCCGGGTGTGTGTTCACGGTGTGTGTGTTCACTGCTGTGTGTGTGCACTTAGGATGGGATAAAAGCAGAACACTAATTCCTAGTATGGGTAACCATACTTCGCCACATGTCACTTCACTTCACTTCACTAAAATCAATGCTGTCTCACGAGTGCATTTGCGCATGCGCAGACGTGCGGGTCTGCTTTGAGCGGGTCGCGAACTCTGACCTCCTGTAGCTGCAGTGAGCCGTCAGTTTACGAGAATTTATCAAAACATCACAGTATTTGGATAATTTCTCACGCGTTCAGGGTAAGAATAACTATATTCTATATTGTTAAAGCCCACTGTGTTTGCAGTAATTGTTTAGGATAAATCATTCAGGAGAATATTAGCACTGTTGATAGCCGGCTTGCTAACACGCGTTAGCGTATTAGCCGCTAGCAAAATAGAAAATATCGATCAGTACAGGCGAATGTCTGCGATTAAACTAACCGTAAGAGCTTTTTTATTATTTAAGAACAATAAATATATATAACAAAGCATCTAATGGACATTATAACAAATCGGATGCAGATAAGACGTTATTTAGCAGGCTAACGCTATCAGTTGGCTAATCTGTTATCAGTGCGCTGGTAAACACAACAGATCCGATCACAAAATAACACAAAGACTATCATATGGACTTATTAATTTATCATTTGAGATCAACAATTTGAAGATTCTAGATGCGTCCTGTTATCCGTGTGTGAAGCGCTGCTGCAGTGAAGATCGCTCTGTGTGTGTGTGTGTGTGTGTGGGGAGCTTTAACCCTTCAATCATGACCTTTAACCTACAGGAACAGCTCTAACTTTATCTTCCCGGATCAACACCCGCACATTCCACATGAGTTACTGACCCCCAGCTGTCATTCACGCTAGATCGCATTTATTGAATCATTAAGTCATTTAGTTCCTTGAAAAACGCTCAAATAAATACGCGGTGCTGGCTTGTGTGCTAATGTAGCTCCTGCTAACCATATGACTGTGAGATTTCACTAGTTCTTTATCAGTCTGAACTGATTGACAACACTAAACAGAAAACTTAAACGTGTTGAGCATATAGATGGATCATTAATAATAAAGGCCCTGAAAATAATTGGTTAAAGTGACACAGATGATGGAATGGCAAGAACTGCAAAGTAATGAACAATCTGACTTATAATAAATAGGTGGAAACATTGGAATTGAAGCAAACCTCTTTGTGTAATTATATGAACAAACCCCTAAACCTAAATATTAAGCTTAGGCATGTAATTCATCCCAGACTCTTTATGCTCAGGACTTTTCTAAGAGATCAAACTTGAGATGTTTGCCTGGCTGACAATAAAACGTGAGCCGTCAGTTTACGAGAATTTATCAAAACATCACAGTATTTGGATAATTTCTCACGCGTTCAGGGTAAGAATAACTATATTCTATATTGTTAAAGCCCACTGTGTTTGCAGTAATTGTTTAGGATAAATCATTCAGGAGAATATTAGCACTGTTGATAGCCGGCTTGCTAACACGCGTTAGCGTATTAGCCGCTAGCAAAATAGAAAATATCGATCAGTACAGGCGAATGTCTGCGATTAAACTAACCGTAAGAGCTTTTTTATTATTTAAGAACAATAAATATATATAACAAAGCATCTAATGGACATTATAACAAATCGGATGCAGATAAGACGTTATTTAGCAGGCTAACGCTATCAGTGGGCTAATCTGATATCATTGCGCTGATAAACACGAATACCGCTCGCAAAATAACACAAAAACGATCATTCGGACGTGTTAACTTGTCATTTGGTGATCACAATTTTTTTGTAAGATACGAGATTGATCCTGTACTCCACGTGTGAAGAGCTGCTGCAGTGCAGATCCCTCTGTGTAACGTTATGCGTGGGGAGCTTTAACCCTTCAATCATGACCTTTAACCTACAGGAACAGATCTGACTTTTATCTTCCCGGATCAACACCCACACATTCCACACGAGTTACTGACCCCCAGCTGTTATTCACGCTAGATCGCATTTACTCATCAAGTCATTTAGTTCTTTGCAAAACACTAAAACCAATACGCGCCGCTGGCTAGCGTGCTAATGTAGCTCCTGCTAATCAGATGCCAGTGAGATTTCACTATATCTTTTATCAGTCTGAAGTGAATGACAACACTAAACAGAATATTGTGTAGAACATATAGACCCTGTATCATTCATAATAAAGAGTCCTGATTTCAATAATTGGTTAAGGTGATAAAGATGATGGAATGACAAGAACCGCAAAGTCATGAATCATTTGACTGATAATGAAAAAGTTGAAACAGGCCAGGATTTGAGGCAGACCTTCTTTGCATAATTATTTTAACAAACCCCTGAACCTAAATATTAAACTTGGGCATGTAATGCATCCCAGAAACGTTATGCTCAAGACTTTTCTAAGAGATCAAACTTGAGATGTTTGCCTGGCGGACAATAAAACGGGTGAAAAATCTCAGACTTTAAAGAAATCTAGAGACCAGAATATCATGGAGACTTGGGTCAGCACATCTCCAGAAATGTGCTTAAAAAACGACATAGCAATGCCTCGGCAATCACCCACAGCACCCTAGCATCTTGGCAGCAAATTTTGCACGTGATAATACCACTCAAAAAAACACAACACCAGAAATGTTGTTAACTTGTGTCAGGGGTTTTCAATTTGTTAGATTGCACAGGCCCCAAAATATGATCATCCTTGTGTAAGGGACCCCCATTCTAAAATTTTCAGGTATACATTAGCATGTATAAAGATTTGACATGAATATAGATATGTGTGAAATATTATTTGGAAATATTTCGTTTCCCCCTGACTTATACAAGGTCTTATTGCAAATGTTTGGTGTGGATCTTCGAGAGTCTCTGAGCTGTGTGTTATTTTTCTCAGGTGGGCGTGTGACTGATGGGGCGTTGCTGAGCCTTGGTTCTGACAGAAGGGTATCATGGAAGGAGAAAGTCCCAGAATTCAGCTGGTGTCTGCAGATGGAGGCCTGCAGGTGACTTAGACTGAATGTTTGTGCTGAGAAAATTTGGTGCGATAAACATTTGAATTTTAATGAATGGCTGTTAATGCTTCTAGTCGGGTGAACTTTTGCATTTCAACAGTACAACATTTGTTTTTACAGAGGGGTGTTTTAATATCTTTTCCATCACACTGCGAAAAAAGCTGGCCAACCAATAAGATTTGCGATTACTTTTCTTTGACAAGTGGGTGTCAGAACCGGAAAGCTGTGCACCACTGTGTACCTCTGTGTTTCTGCTTTTTTCCATAAGTCCCACCTACTGTGAGAGAGTGAATTTGCATTTTCATTCAGCTTTTCAGCCGTTGTGTGTGTGTGTGTGTGTGTATTGATCTGAACAGACAAATGGTATATGAAAATCAAACCGAATTTTCATGCCATCGCTTGTGTTGGTGCAAACAGACATTTAATAACTTTATTATTGTAAATGCCATTAGGTCCTTTGTTGTCATGTGTTGTATCAGATTGTGACGGAGCAGCAGTTGGCTCAGAAGGTGCAGATAGTCACAGCCATTGATCAGGCTGGAGCCGGCAAGCAGCAGTTTATATTAGCTAACCTGGATTACCCCAACCATGAGAAACTGTTCATCAAACAGGAGAACTCACCAGCCAAGGTCATATTGACTTCTGCCGATGGGTCAGCTGTCAATCAACTGCTTTTTGCATCACCTGAGCTGACAGGACAACAAATCCAGGTAAACAGGCACCACTCATTTAAGCCCAAAGTACACTTTGTGTTTTTGTGTTTACGCTACGCTTTGCATTCAGTGAGTGTGTACCGTAAATTTCGTCATCAGCAACTGTACACATGCAGCCTGATTTTTCTAAATGCATATACTGTTTACGCTCAGCTCATGTATGCATCTTGAATTAGTTGGTCCACAAGTTGGCGACACTGGCCCATTGTTTCTCAGTCAAAAAATAAACAGAACAGTACTACCACTACTGGAGACTGCAACAACAATAGACAACTGCAACTTTCATTTAAAAGTGTACAAATACATTTTTATCGGTCATAACTTCTATAGAGAAATAGCGCAGACACTGGACCAAGATGAAAGTTTCTTCTGCACATTTCGACCACCTGTGTTCACGCACACTATCAAATGGAGTATATGTTCAAAGACTATGCGTTCAGCTGTACACACAAACGAAATGTGCACATTAAAACTAAAGTATACTTTGGCCTTTACTTGTGTTGTGGTTCCATGAAAAAAAATCCAGTATGGCAGACGAAGCAAGAGAAATATGAATTATAAAAAGACATATTTCATTGAATTTTTAAAACAGTTTGGTGTAATTTAAATGGAATGTTTTCCTCAGCATGTGTGTGTGCTATTTGTCTTTTAGGCTTATTAGAGTCTTTCGCTGTTAGCTTAGCAACATGCTAATGTCAAACTCTATTGAAATCAATGGCAAGTTGAGTCTCCAGTGTGAAGTAAAACCATATAAATACTACGGTACAAAAACATGATTCAATACAATCAAAGCACAGTGGTGTTTTTTTTCTTATGTATTATGTATGTCATTACTTTTTGGTTCTTTTTTTTGGTAAGACTTACTATAATTGTAGTTCTCTCTTAGAAGTTTGTATTGTGATAGTCTGTACTTGTTTGTGTGCTTCTATATATATATATATATATATATATATTAGTATTTCCTTTTGTAATTTACACTATATTATTGTTCATATTTAGATTAGAATGTTTTGTTTTTCAGTTTGTGACGGAGGGCTCAGAACAGGGCTCTACGAAGCCTCCAGTGGAGTATTGTGTAGTTTGTGGAGACAAGGCCTCAGGTACATGACACACACACAGAGTCGTGTTTTAAATCATTTTTAAAGACCTCAAACAGAATTTGATTAATTGTTACTTTTGTAAATAGATGCTTCTGTATTGTTGGTCATTGTGTGTGTGTTCAGGTCGTCATTATGGAGCAGTGAGCTGTGAGGGCTGTAAGGGTTTCTTCAAGCGCAGCATCAGGAAGAATCTGGTGTACACGTGCCGCGGGTCTGGAGAATGTGTCATCAACAAACACAATCGAAACCGGTGTCAGTACTGCAGACTGCAGCGCTGCATGGCCCTCGGCATGAAACAAGACTGTGAGTCCAAATCAGATTCATGACTGATGACTCAAATCACGTGGCATTTTGAGGAGGGGTGTGCTGTCATTTTTCTAAGCGATCAGACTTAAAGGGTTAGTTCACCCAAAAATGAAAATTAGCCCATAAATTACTCACCCTCAAGTCATCCTAGGTGTATATGACTTTCTTCTTTCAGACGAATCCAGTGGGAGTTATATTAAAAATTGTCTTTGATCTTTCAAGCTCTATCATTGCGTTCACCCCCCGGAGCCGTGTGAGACACTTTTTTTTTTTATGGATGTGCACATTTTAACTAAGTGCTTTTGGACGGATGCATGCAACACCCGCTGAGTGCCATGAAACAGCTTGAAAGATCAAAGACCATTTTTAATATAACTCCCACTGGATTCGTCTGAAAGAAGAAAGTCATATACACCTAGGATGACTTGAGGGTGAGTAATTTATGGGCTAATTTTCATTTTTGGGTGAACTAACCCTTTAATATTTTCACCTGCTGAAATTCCTCCAACAGCTGTTCAGTGTGAGAGGAAACCGGTGGAGGTTTCGAGAGAGAAGCCAGCAAACTGTGCGCCCTCCATCGAAAAGATCTACATCCGTAAAAACCTCTGCAGTCCTCTCGCTGCCATGCCAACATTTGTTAGTGAAAAAGAGACTACCAGGTATGGGTGTGAATGTGTGATTGAGTCTTTTTTTTTCTTTTTCTAACTCTCACTCTGGGTCTGATCACAGGTCCACCAGTTTACTGGACTCAAACATGCTCTTGAACATCCAGCAGTCTCTTTCCAAACTTGACAACACCATTTTAATTCCTTCTTCACCAGATCAGGTAAAACATTTTTTTCATAAAACATATATTAAATCCATCATATATTGTAAAATATATAATAAATTAATCATTATTATTATAAGTTATTAATATTGTTAAGTCTAGTTCCTTCTAGTTCTAGTAGAAACTCAGCTGTAACTGTAAGATGCACATAATATTATACAATTATCTATTTTCCTGATCCCTACAAAAGACTACTGGATAAATCTTGCAAAATAAGGTATTACTTTTATATATATATATATATATAGTGATTTACTGTTTTACATAAAATCATCCTTCATAATGTAAAGAACATTCTGTGACAATGTAACCTTGATATCTTTAGTATTGACTGAGTAAGGCCATGTCAAAGATTGAAGTCATAGTGAAATGAATGGTTCAAATCAAACGTTGATGCTTGTTATCTCATAATTAGATTTGGAAACTTTAGCTTGGATTTCACAGACAGGTTCACATATAATTAAACATATTTGTAAAAAAAAATAAAAAATAAAAAAAAATAAAATATATATATATTAGGGATGCACCGATACCACTTTTTCCAGTACTCGCCCGATACCGATACTTTTATTTTGCTCACATTATATTTGCTATAGTTTAGAAAATGGTAATAAAATATGACAACTCCGTGACAATGACAACTCAGAGTTACACTGTGTCAGAACAAATTCATCTTGATGACGTTAGATAATTTTGATAGAAAGGTATGTAATGGATTACAATCAACCAAAATAATTCAGACAGCTGTTAGTATGACAGTATTTACACAACTATCAATACTTAGTCGGGCAGCCCTTAGCCTTAATGACAGCCTGTAGGGAGGTTTGTGGGGAAGAGATGGCTGAGGGGGCTGTCAGGGTTGATGAACAGACCACCGCCCTACTGGAACTGGAAGGACCGCTGCTCTCAGATATGCATGTGCCCTTTAAGGTCGGCCGTCACTGTTGACTTGCACACACTGCAGTGACAGCACCAAAAATGACAGACCAATAACAATCTGTATTCAATATTTTGTGTAGCTGATGATGCCGCTGCCCCTGCCAGACTTCCTGAGTCTGAATTACATCTGTGAATCAGCTTCTCGTCTGCTTTTCCTCTCCATGCACTGGGCACGCTCTATTCCAGCTTTCCAGGCCCTTGGGTGAGTGAATGAGTGGCCCCGTTTACACCTGGTTTCAGGTGATCACAAGTGGATAGCACTAAATACAGATGTAAACGGGCTAAAAATATTAAAAATAACATTTTTTTAATATAATATACTTTAAGTACTAAATTAATTATGTTTATAATCAGCACTTCCTGCATTCTCCACCATCTTAGTTATAGAATTCACTGCATTGCATTCAGGCATTGTCTTCAACATAAAGAATAAATGCAATGCTGCATTAGAAGTTGGTCAAAAATTATCTTAGGAGGCAGCATCCTTTAATACAGCCTTTGTGCAGGAGTGCTCATATAATACCCTAAAGTATTGCTCTTTAGGCAGTGAAACAGAACTACAGGCATACTTTCTCCCCTTATCTGTTCCTTACACTTTACAGTGCACTGTGTAATGATTTTATTTGTGAATTTGTGGCTGTCCTCATTTTCTTTTCTGTATTTTTGGTGTTTAGCTCAGAGAACAGCATCACGCTGATGAAGGCCTGCTGGAATGAGTTGTTTGCTTTAGGTCTGGCTCAGTGTTCACACATTATGAATGTAGAAACAATCCTCACAGCCATAATCAACCACTTACAGACTAGCCTGGATGAAGGTATGTGGACCCGATGCTCTTGTTTTCGTGTCTCCTATCTAATTTATGTTACTATCATAACTTTTAGCTAATCAACTTTTAGTTAGTTCATTCAGGCTTTTGCAAACATTTTGGCATCAAGGACCCCCATAAAAGATGATACCCTTGTCAGGGACCCTATACTAAAGTATACAAACAGCTAAATATTTTACATATACATATATTATACATAAAAAAAACCTCATTTATACTGTGTAAGAAAAATATTAAGTTTGATATAGAGTGCTGCAGGGATGACGTATTTTTGAAGGCCCAGAAACAAGTTAGCATTTAATCACTTCTAGTTCCATCATCCCAAAGTCTATTGGGTTTTTTGGAATGGGTTTTTGGTTAAATGCCTGAAATAAGGTCCTTAAAAAAAGCTTTTGTAAGCTTTTAGGCTACGTTTACACAACAACGATGTAGCCAAAAACGGAAAAGTTTTTCCCTTGCATTTTTAAAAAGTTTCACGTATACACAACAAAGTTTTCGAAACGATTCGCGTTTACACATATCCGTGAACACAGCCAAAAACGCTGTATTACATATGCCAGGCCAGTAGTTGGTGCTGTCACCTTGTTAGTAAACAGTACCTGTTGCCATGTGTATATGATGCGTATCCGCAGTTGGTTGTAATATTGGTAAAGTAAATCCACACTTTGCTGAAGAAGTGTTAGCAAACTCTTAAACAGCTACAACAGTACCATGTACTCCGCCATAGTTGTGTATGTTTGTTCACGCTTGCCTTTAAAATCGGCATGTACTGCGCATGTCTACATACCTAACACGTACTACGCATGTGCATGGCGTCACCATTTTCAAAGATTCCCGTTTTGGGTGTTTACACGGAAACGATAACGGTGGCGTTTTCAAAAACTTGCACTTTGAAACCCGTTTTCAAAAATATGAATTTTCAGTCCCCAAAACGGCGTTGTCGTGTAAACGAACAGTCAAAACGCATAAAAAGTTTCCCGTTTTTGGCTGAAAACGTTGTCGTGTAAACGGCCCCTTACTTCTTTTAAAAAGGCGGTTGCTAAGGCTGGCCGCACACTAGAGGATTTTAAGGCCGATTTTAAGCCCCCGAACGATCGGGGGTGTGGCCCGATTCGCGGCTTGTCGCAAGCGATTTTTTTACGATTATTTAACTGCTCCCGATCGAGACGGAGCGTCGCCGAACTCAAATCGTAAATATCAAACATGACTCTTGATCGGGCTGCCTCTGACATGATACCCGCGTTAGCCAATGAGAGCGAGCAAGCGTCACCTACCGGATGTTGCGTGCTTCTATAGCTGAAACATAGCATGCCATGAAAGCAGAGAACATCACCCATATTCTTTTCTATACTTTGTTTTTCACTGTACAACAGAACGTGCGCCGGGAGAGCCAGCTGACAACATTGATTGTCCTCCTATTTGTTTTTCTTCTCTAATCACATTTGATCTCACGAGTGTCCGTGAGATCTCGTGTCACTGTGAAATTGTTCCTACAATCATCAAGTGTGTGGTCTCGTGGTCTGGTCTAATCATATAGTGTGCGCATTCAGAGGATTATAAGGCTAAAAATCGGTTGAACTGTCTTCATGTCTGTGGTCTCCCATGGTTTTAAAATCTTTTAAGATTTGAAAATCATCTAGTGTGCAGCCAGCTTAAGTAGCTTAAAGTGACTACAGAGGTTGTCAGGGACAGGGTTAAATGTCATCACACTGAACATGAAAACTAACTAGTTCACTTTTACAGCCTCGTTGGGCTTATAATTGCACTCTTGCAAACTATTCTAATTCAAACTCGGATTTTTTTTTTTAAATAAATGTTTTAAAAGAAGTTTTCAGAAATGTAGTCATAGTGAAGTTAAAGTCATGCGACTTTTTTATGTAGTTTGTTTATTATAGCCTATGTTGAGTTTTTTTTTACTTCTGGCAATTTGTACTGAGGCTTCAAAATTCATCACACTGAGCAAAATGTGTAAGATTCACAAACTTTTGTTGGTCACGGAGCTTATTTTCTACAATAATCCAAAAGCCAGTGGAAAAATTATATTGGCTTTTGTCGAGGGACCCAGGGTGATGCTAACTTTTGGATTGGCCTACATAAATATGCCATCATTGGAGCACTCTTGTATAGAGAAAACAAAATTAAATAATTGTTTCAGAAATAAAATAGTTGGCTTTTATATTGCCATTGTATTAAAGTGAATTGTTAAAATATCATCTAAAATTATTAATTGGGAGTCAATTCACTGATACACAGATACCTAATAAGAAATGTGTGTGTGTTCAACAGAAAAACTGTCCCCGGAGCGGGTGAAGCTAGTCATGGAGCATATCTGGCGTATGCAGGAATTTTGTAACAGTATGAGTCGCATGAGTCCTGATGCATATGAATATGCTTACCTCAAAGCTGTGGTTCTCTTCAGCCCAGGTGAGCACAACTGGAGTTCATCTGAAAAATAGGAAGGAAAAAACGTAAGGATGGAGTTGATTGTGTGTGTTTGTCATAGATCACTGTGGAGTGGACGGCACCCTTCAGATCGAACGCTTTCAGGAGAAAGCCTACATGGAACTGCAGGACTATGTGAGCAAAGTGTATCCAGAGGACACATATCGGTGAGTGACTATAGTAGCTTGCATTTCTCCACCCAATCATGATAGATTCTCAATATGCATGTGCATAATTATGGTCTAATTAATTTTATTTTTAGTATATTTGAGATATACTAGTTGTGACTAGAAACTAACCTATAAATTATCTTTCAGTCTTTCAAAACTGTTAGTTCGTCTGCCTGCTCTGCGGCTCATGAGCGCGGCGGTGACCGAAGAGCTCTTTTTCGCCGGTCTCATCGGGAACGTCCAGATCGACAGCATCATTCCCTACATCCTCAAAATGGAGTCTACCGACTACAACAGCCAACCAATCAGCACCGCTGAGTGACAGAAACCCCACCCACAGCCACACCCATCAGCTTTGCTTGCTCAGACCCTTTGAGCCAAAACAGATATAATCATGTGAATTCTGAATGAGGAAATCATTTTTTTATGACTTTGCTTTTTCATTTGGTCAGTGGTTGTGTCTGTGAGTTATATAGTATGGATAAAGTGGTTTACCGCAACTGTTGCGGTTGGATCATTTGGGCTTTTATTGTACTGGTGTACTTATGTTTAGAAAAGTGTCTATAAAGATACAGGAAGTGCAAGGAACCTGTTCTTAAGAATTATGTATATAGGAATAATAAATGATATACAGGGTTCCCACAGTCACAGTTTTTTTTCAACCCTGGAAAAGTCATGGGAATTTATGTAGCGCATGAAAATGTTTCTGTTTGTGCTCTATTATATTTAATTGGCAAAATATTCATCTATGAGTGCAATCTTCAAAATTTGGTCAAATGTGTGGGAATCTAGACAGTGGTTGAACTCTGTAACGTTTAAATAATGAATATGTTTGTGTTGTGTTGTATTTTTATGAAAGGATAAACCAGACTTTCAGAAACATGTTCTGGACGAGCTTGGACGCTTAAATTGCACTATATGTCATTATTACGGTAACACTTTACAATAAGGTTTACTTTAGTTAACATGAACTAAGCATGAACAATACTTCAACAGCATTTATTAATCTTAGTTAATGTTCATTTCAGCATCTACTAATGCATTATTAAAATCAAATAGTGTGCTGGTTAACATTAGTTAATGCTCTGTGAATGAACATAAACAATGAATGGCTGCATTTTCGTTAACAAAGATTAATAAATACTGTAATAAACGTATTGTTCATGTGTTAGTTAATACTTTAACTAACATTAACTAATGGAAACTTATTGTAAAGTGTTACCATTATTACTATAATTGAAACACTTATTTCTTAATAAACTGCTTATGTTTTAGTGAACAAAAGTTAGTGCATAACACCCAGAGGCAACATGATCTGTCCAAACCAAAGTAAAGAAGTTGTTACTTTTAATTGTTAGAATTTGCGTCACTGTTTTCTTAATTGTGGCAAAAAGAAAATATGATCTTTTAAAACTGTTTATACGGTAAATTAAGACGATGTAATATAACAATCATGAACCTGCTGCTCGTTTCATTGTTTCAGGTCAAATATAAAGATTAAGGTCATTTTGAAAATCATGGTTTCATTTTAATCCAATTAGAATTTGAGGATTCTGTATATAATATACATCTCAGAGAACTAAATTTCAGTTTGTAATTCAGTAAAACGAGAGACATAGTCTGAACGGCTCTGCGTGAATTTAAAATTGGTGTACGGTTATTTCTCAAAGTGCCGGCGGAACCCAACGCGCTTGATGGTGTGCAGCGGGAACGGTAAAGTCACGTGACAGTCCGTCAGTGTTTAGAGTCCGTCAGTTATGGCGGAGTACGCGAATTTAGTGCGGCGGGCCGCGGGTCAGCTCACCGGTCATGGCGGTGTTAGAGGCTTCCTGCTGCAGCTCTTCAGGTGGGTCACTCAAGTCAAACAGATTTGATCGCTTTTGATGTAAACAGTGCTGTAAAATGCAGCGTGTTAAGCTGTAAGACACTGAAGCCAAAGCAATGACCTCTGATAGTGACGGCACAGTCAAATATATGTGAATGCTAAAATATTTACTGGAGTAATTATTATAATTCGCATATTTATATTGCATTTGGTGTCACAATACAACAAGGCAAATGAGAGTAAAATGTTTTATTTAAACATTGAGATCTTTATGTGCATATACATAGAAACTATATATTAAAAACATAATCATTGTCGTACAGAACAACAACTAATGAGTGTTATGATGTAATCTTTTTATTTTTATCTTTATTAATTTATATCATGGTTATTATTATTAGGAATGGAACACTATTTTTTTGGACCTGCACTAAATATTTTAGGGGATTTATTATTGATATTTATATATTATTCATTTTTATGCATATTGTTTACTTATTAAGTCTAATATATAATATAATATGTTAATAATTGATAAAAAATGTGTCTTTGTCAGGGTGAATGATATCAAGACTGGAGCCTTGGTGGGTATTGACAAATATGGCAACAAATACTATGAGGACAACAGATACTTTTTCGGTATGAATATACATACTTTTGCTGTCTGTACACAAATTCACTGTGTTTTATGCCTTATGAATGTGTATTTTTCAATTTGTGACTTTCAGGCCGTCACCGATGGGTGATTTACACGACAGAGATGAACGGCAAGAACACTTTGTGGGATGTTGATGGCAGTATGGTCCCTGCTGAATGGTAATATATAGATGTGTTTGGCAGGATGTTTTCATGGATGTAGTTTTCTACCTTTTGCACTTAATATTATGTAATTATTGGGATTATTGAACATACTCTAGCCTTAAACAATTATTCTTGCAAGAAAAAAAAATTAATTCAGGAGCACTGTGGTGTTGAAAATTGATCATTGGCAGCAATAATGATTAAGCAAAACATTGGGTAAATTATGTATTGTAAAAAAAGTACGTTTTAGAATAGAATTGCATAATATTTTATACAGAAATTCTCACTGCTTTGGCTCAAAGTTAGTTAGCAGACAAACACAGGCTTTATTTGCCACTGTACAGTAATATATCTTCTATTTTTCTCTCTTTGATGTGTTTCTCAGGCACCGTTGGCTACACTGCATGACGGATGACCCTCCCACCACTCACCCTCCAGAACCCAAGAAGTTCCTGGCCAAAGTTCATCAGTTCAACAACAGTGGCACACTGAACTGCTACGTACCCTATTCAACCACTCGCAAGAAGATCCACGAGTGGGTGCCACCAGAAGCCGGGGAGAAATAATCCCCTCATCCTGTTTGTGTTCCCTTACCACCTTTGACCAGTTCTGCTGTTTGGAACATTCTGTAAATTGTAGCTGTATAATCATCAATAAATTAAAACAAATGTGTTTGTTTCCGAGTGACTTCAAAATTCATGTTCATAAAGCATTTGGAATATTGAGCATTACTTTTACAGTGGAGTCGGAGGTTTGACCCCCTTTCAGAGGAGCTCTTATACTCACCAAGGCTGCTTTATTTGATGAAAAATACAGTAAATTACTCAGCGACCAGCACGGATCAGCTCCAGGCATGACGAAGCAGATATCGTCCTCTTTTGGAAGACCAAACAAAGTAGTTTCGCTTTCACAACGAATCACAGCGCCTTCACGATACGGGAAAACCGCGGACTTGGCAACACTGACGGATACAACGGACACGAGCGCTGTCACGGCGCGACCACAACAGCATGGAGTTGTCTAATTTGGCACGGCCTCCCTGCTACACTATATAGTAGTATATAATATAGTATATAATATATAATAGTAGTGAGCCATTCCTCTGTGTATACATCATAGGCGCGGGAAGTGGGGGTGCTGCAGCATATTTTTTTTTTTCTGTGGGCAACTGTTTAACTGTTGGGAATAAAAAAATCGTTGGCTAAGGCTATTGCACTAACTCCAGCCACCAACGTGTGATTGAGATAGTCAGCATTACAAAAGACTTTACAAGAAATTACAAAAGAAATGACTAAACGTCCGCTACAGTGGCGCAGGTGGGACAATGCGTGTCATTCACCTTTTGACGCGATCGACCCGAGTTCGAATCTACCTTTTGGCGAACTTTTTTTTTCTCCCTTTTCAAATTTCAGATCACATCAGTAAAGCATTTATTTTTTAATAAGAATGAAGGAAATAATCAAAAAGTATCGGGTAGGTAGGTGTAGGGAGGGCTTTTGTCCCAATAAGGTGGGACAATTAAATTTCCATTTAAAAATTTGAATTAAAATTAAAATTTACACTCAATAAGTTATTATTGCATACTGTTTTTTAATGTATTACAATGCTGAGGTGCACCCCTACTGTTTACGCCCCTGTATACCAGTCGAACTCGTAAGGCAATGGACATGAAAACATATGAAGGTTTTGTTTTTCATAATAATAAGGTATAGTCTGTAATAAAATCTCACGTTAGGTCTCTTTCTAGGGGCCTATAGTCCAATAAGAAGATTCTGTTTCGCCGTATTATTTTCCAAACGAAGGGTGAGTAAGTTTAGTCAGGTAACGTTAGGTGAGTCAGAGGTTGACCAGCAGAGGGCGCTGATCTTACATTTTTCGGATTTTGCTCCAGTTTTTGAGGGAATGCTGTTCAACTAAAAGCAAAGCCCACTCACAGTTCACGCTGAAAACTGAAACCAGTGGGCAAACTATAACAGCTGCTTCCTATTAAGAAACATAGGGCCTCCAACGGATGAGAGCAAATCTCCACATTTTATAGGCTCTCTGTATTTGTCGATTAAACCCTCAAGCATCCTTCGGGACAAATGTGGGCAAAATCATTTTGTTTTTGTTTTTTAAAAAATAGTTTCCTTAATCTGAGTGGTACAAGACTTGTCTACTTTTCCTAAGTTTGCCACCTGAACACACACACACACACACACACACAGAGACACACAAATGGACTTGATTCAACAAAGTTAAGTGGTTGAAATTTTTATTTATTTTTTTCCTTCGTGGACAAAAATGGGCACCCATAGGAAATTAATAGGAAATACTATAATTCAGAGCATTTTTTTATTTGTCCAATAAAAACATCCAACACAATGCAGATAATACGACCACATAAATGAAGGGGTGAGCCTATACAACATTCTCAATGTGGCAAACATTAAACATTCAGATTTACATGCTCTATCAGCTACAAAATCCTCCTCGTCAAACTGGAGATAGTCTGAGCTTTTCTAACTCGGCAATCAGTTAAGAAAGAGCTGGTGTTATCAGAATCAAAGCAGCCTGAAGCAAGAATACTGGCTTCCTTAATTCACTGTTGTTCACACTGACACACACACTCACACAAACACACACACCCACAAACAAAGCATTGAATGAGCCTATAACAGAGCAGGGGCCGGTTGCATAAACTGCTTAGACAAGTCTTAAAAATGAAGCCATCTAATTTGTTTTCTTCTAGAAACTAGTTCCTAAGACACAGTCTTAACATAGTGTCTATGTTTATGCAACTGGCCCCTGTGTTTATAGGCTACTTGCTAGGTTTACTTGGTCATTTTACTTACCATTTTACTTTTTTGCGTTGTTGAAATTTGATGGGTTTTTGTTGTTGTTGTTGTTTTGGTTTGTTTTGTTAGAAAAAAAAAATTGTCTGTAAGCATATTTTGGCATCTTTGTATCACCCAACACAAATGTCTTTTTTTTTTCATTCTACAATTTTAACAATTTTTAATCTGAAACTTGCAAGGTTAAATTTGTTACAACAATGGTTTATAGATTTCAGCCTATGCAGCCATTACTACAGCCAAAAAGTATATTTTACAAAAAAAGATGGTACTTTTAGAGGTAATCAAATTTTAAAAAGCACCAAAATTCACAAATATTGCATAAATTGATAGGTTTTATTATATTGAAGATAGTGATATAACCTTTATTTTAATTTTTTTTAAAATTGGGATCACACCTGAGACCTTCGTGCCCAAATTTGTTCACAAACGACCAATTAAGAGCTGCTATAGGAAGGATGCTTGAGGGTTAAACATGTACCATGGTAATATTATTGTACTGTTTGAAGTACATTGGAATATTGTTTAAATACCATGGTACATGAATATGGTAATCAATATGGAAGTACCCTGATACTATCACCTGATACCATGGTGTCACCACAGTACATATTATTATAAGGGCTGCAGCATTATCACCACAAGTTTACAAGTTTACAAGTGTAATGTGACAATGTAAACGCTGCCAACCACAATTTGTAGTTTCAATTTCACACAAATAGTGTTAATACATCTGTGCCAGCAGATAAATGCAAAAAATATGATTAGTTGTCTGAGAACCCTTAATGTTCACACGAGAAGTAAAACAAGAGCAAATTGTGCTGTCAGCAGAGGATGTCAATGTGTGCATGACACCAGCAGCTTATGGTTAACATACTAATAGGTCAGAGTTTGTAACTCATCTGTGTAAAACAGACAGACTCCCAATTTACAGTGTCTAGTTTTGTTATCCAGTGCTCTCTCTCTCTGTCTCTCTCTCTCTCTCACTCACACACACACACACACACACACACACACACCCACACACAAGTTCACTGCAAAATGGACTGAGGTAATGAATTATGGATATGCACATTAGCATGGTGTCATTTCACACCGCCAAGTGGTTTAAATTTTCATATCCCCATGAAATAGCAGCTGTTAGCGTAGTGTATATGGGGGTGTATTCATATGTCAGATAAACGTCAGGTCTCTCAATTACAAAGTGACATGCTTTACAAATGAACCTGCTGGTGAATATTTAATTATTTCCATGCTAAATCGTTTTCCTTTATTAGCAGTAACTGCAATTAGTGGTTAAGTTTCACTATTGTCATAATGTGCAGTTTTGCTACCCTAGCAACATCCCAGCAACCGCATAGCAACTTGGCAGCCACCAAAAACATTCTACCAACGGCATAGTAACACCCTAGAAACCACCCAGAACACCCAGGTAATATTACCCTGACAAACACATAGCAAAACTCTAGAAACGACGAGAGCACTTGGGCAACTGTATATTACCAACATCAGAAAACCTTAGCAACACCCTGGAAACCACTCATAACATCTGCATAGTAAAACCCAAAAAACACCTGAAGCATAAAGGTAACCGTATATTACCCTGACAATGCATAGCAACACCCTAGAAACCTCCCACAAACACCCAGCTGTATATTATCATGGCAACCACCCTAGAAACCACACATAACACTCGGGCAACCTATCACCGTGGCATCCACCCAGAACACCCTAACATCAACTACACCTAACACCTGAACAACAGCATAGTATCACCCTGAGAACAATCAGACAACTGTATATTTCCCTGGCATTTATCAGAATACCTTAACAACACTCTGGTTACTACTCATGACACCCATCATAGTAATTCCTCATAACACAACCTCATAGCAACTATCCAGAACACCCAACCACACTGCAACCCCAACTTATTACACCCTAGTAGCTGCATAGCAACCCTCTGGTAGCCACCCAGAACATCCTAGCATCTCTGTGGCCACTCATATTTACTACATAAAAGTCCATCATTTTTAAAAATGTGGCGAGTCTGGTCCTGTTGATGGCTTAGTATTCCAGCAATGTGTGGTCAGAAAGGTGTACAGTAATTATGCTATGCATTTTGAATCTCACTGTAACGTTGGATCATGTTATGAGAGTTGCCATATGTCCTTATTTTGAGGCACCAAATGTGATAAATTTAGCACTGGCCCAGATAGTTGTTAAAAGCACATCTCTATATATATATTTTTTTATCTGCAGTGAAGGGCGTAAAGAGAGGAAGACAAAGCCTCTAGGATAGGGTTGAGGTTTTATCAACAGGATGAGGTACAAAACAAATAGCTTTTCCAATCCGGCCACTCCCCGTTGAAATAGACTGATGGACGCTACACACTCAACAGTCTTTGAACACATCTGAAAGATATATTATTAGTACTATGACAAGTGTTACACTGTTGTCATCAGTGTTCTTGTCAGTGTGACACAATTACTGGTTTTAGATGCAAACTGTACACTGTACTTCATACAGTTGCTTTCCAGAGCCCTCAAAGCCTCACTCAGTCACAGGAAGTGCAAGGAACACGGTGTCAAGTCTGTTTATGGTCTGTTTAGATTGCATGCTGTTTTGTGCTGTTTGTACGTAATGTGCCAAAATGCACATTTTGGATTAGGTTCTATCAACAGTATCTATGTTGTCACAGAAAATAATCGTGCATTCCTTATAACAACAAACTACAATTGTGTTTTCAGTAATACACTTACAGTAAAATGGCACTCTACACTGTAAATTATTTGACCGTAAATTCACAGTAAATTACTGGCTTCTAGTTGCATTA